ACTAGTGACTTGAGTTACGAAATCTATGCCATTTTTAATTGAAAAATAACATTTTATTAATTTCTACGGCATCATTCCTAGTTGATTAAACCATTTTATGAAATACGTGTTTAAAATAGGTTCTCTACATTCTTAAGTCTGTTTTTATTATTAGTTGGGGCATTTTTTTTTCTTTATAATAGGAGTCTATGGGAAAACGGGCTTCGCTATCCTGTCAACTTTTCAATAGCATATCTATTCCGAATATCGAGAGATGGGCGTACTAGAAACATTCTAGATTTTATTAGAATCCTCTATTCTGGAAAACTCGCTGATTTTCTCGTTTCGGCCAGAATATGCGAACCAGACTGCAGCTCGGACAAAATATAAGTCGTCTCAATGACAACAAGGTCATTCTGTAGCAGGCAACACAAAACTAACGAGTAACCAATTGGTGCTAACTGCGGAGCCCCATAACACGCTAACATGCATGCTCACGGAACACGTCATAATTATTTGAGAATATGATCGTGAATAATTCTTTGAGGACTCAACATTAAGATACTGTAGTGCAAAATGCATAATAGATGCAACATTAAATAGAAAAGTTATATAATCTATACATTTCAATGCTTATACTCTATCGAAACAGAACTACTAACATAGATTTGTATAGTAGACTTAAAATAAGACCCAAAACTCAAGCGCTTTCGAAAGCGCTCGAGTTTTCGGTCTTATTCTAAATCTATTACACTTTATATATGATCCCTTGTGCTAACTCTTTTATCAGAATAGATTTGTATAGAGCATTTTTACTTTTTCTATCACTAAAGCAGGCTGCAGGGCCCTAAGTAGTCGCTCAATCTACAGCTAGTTCCGGTTCTGAGTTGTTATTTGGAAATACATCTACATACTACCAGGACTGTCATATAAACGATTTCAAACTCGCTTCTAAATCGCAAATAAATAATAAAATATTGTTACGACAGCGGAAGTCACGTGACGCTGGTAACACGTGATGAGTTTCTAGAAAGATCATGACTGTTCCTGGCAACTCTAGTGTTTGCCAGATACCCTCTATTTTTGTATATAAACCCGGCAAATAACGCGGAGATAATAATAGTAGATTGAAGAGAGATATAGAGACAGATAATTGAGTCAAGTGAGTGGAAGTGACCGTGAATTATAGCGTGTGTTTAAGTTAAAGTGACTGTGGAAATTCTGTGTATTGCAAAGTTGTATCGAGAAATAATAAAAAGAAAAGAAAATAAACAAGAAGAGAGATTACAGAAGTTGTTGAAGGAAAAAGACTAGAAAGAAGAAGAAGAGCAATTACAGCAGTTGTTGGAGGAAAAAGACTAGAAAGAAGAAGAGAAATTACAGCAGTTGTTGGAGGAAAAAGAAAAGAAACTAGAAGAACGAGAAAAGAAACAAGAAGAGAGATTACAGCAGTTATTGGAGGAAAAAGAAAAGAAACAAGAAGAGAGATTACAGCAGTTGTTGGAGGAAAAAGAAAAGAAACAAGAAGAGAAATTACAGCAGTTGTTGGAGAAAAAAGAAAAGCAACAAGAAGAACGAGAAAAGAAACAAAAAGATGGACAAAAGCAGTGGCAAGAAAACTTGCAACAGTGGCAGCTCGAACAGCAAAATAAACAAGAGAGATTACAGCAGTTGTTGGAGGAGAAAGAAAATAAACAAGAAGAGAGATTGCAGCAGTGGCAACTGGAAAAAGAATAGAAACAGGAAGAAAGTCTCCAACAGTTGCAGGAAAGTCAGCAGTAACTACAGGAAAGTCAACAACAGTGGCAAGAAGTACTAATGGAAAACATTAGTAAATTTCAAAGTGAATTAAATGCATTAAAGGATGATTTACTGTCCTTTACACAAGGAAGATATATTAGCCATCGACCTAATCAGCCTCAGACAACGGGAAGCCCCTTCCAGACCCCGCAGCTAAACCCTAATGCAGACATCTTCAGTCCTGTCAGAAGTCACATTCCAAACATGGGTGTCAGCAATAGGGGTGATCTAGTACGATGGTAGCCACAGGATGTCGATGGGAAGGCACTATGGGAAGCATATAGAGCACAATTTGAGCTCCTGGCAGAAACGAATGGATGGACAGAGGAGCAGAAGGCAGTGTACCTGGCGACGAGTTTGAAGGGACAACCACTGGAAATACTTGGACAGTTCTCAGCAGACAACAGGCACAACTATAGAGCACTGGTAGCTGCTCTAGAACTCAGGTATGGAACCATAAATCAGTCTGAAGTCTACAGGGCTAGGTTTAGAATTAGAGTCCGTGCTAAAGGGGAGAGCCTGCAAGAGCTGGCACAGGATTTGGAAAGTATGGCATACAAGGCCTAACCAACTGCACCACCCGATGTCCTCAAGCTGTTGCTGAAGGATCAGTTCTTAGATGCCTTGGACAGTCCACAACTGAAGATACTAGTGAAACAAGTACACCCTTCTAATATGCAGGATGCAATGGCCAGACCTCTTGAATTCGAATCTTATGTTAAGTCCAGCACAGAGGTACCAAGTTGGTACAGTCATCAGGATTCAATGCCAGAAAAGGGCAGCTTTCAGAGAAGTTTGAGGGACTTTGCTGGCACTGTAACAAACCTGGGCATAAGAAAGCTCAATGCTGGCAACTTCAACACAGGGAAGATGCCACAGCAGGAAAGTCTGCTACCCAGAAAGGTTGTTGGAACTGTGGAGAGTAAGGGCATATGAGGAGTGTCTCTCTTCTTGTTTCTTTTCTTTTTCCTCCAACAACTGCTGTAATTTCTCTTGTTTATTTTGCTGTTCGAGCTGCCATTGTTGCAGGTTTTCTTGCAACTGCTGTTGTCTCTCCAGCAGTTGCAAGAAAACCTGCAACAGTGGCAGCTCGAACAACAAAATAAACAAGAAGAGAGATTACAGCAAGTTGTTAGAGGAAAAAGAAAAGAAAGAAGAAGAACGAGAAAAGAAACAAGAAGAGAGACTACAGCAGTGGCAACTGGAACAAGAAAGGAAACAGGAAGAAAATCAGCAGCAACTACAGGAAAATCAACAACAATGGCAAGAGGTACAAATGGAAAACATTAGTAAATTTAAAAGCGACTTAGATACGTTAAAGGACAATCTGTTGTCTTTTACACAAGGAGGATACATTGACCATCGACTTAATCAGCCCCAGGCAATGGCCAGAGCTCTCGAATTTGAATCCTACGTTAAGTCCAGCACAGAGGTACCGAGGTTGGTACAGTCATCTGGATTCAAGGCCAGAAAAGGTCAGCTTTCAGAGAAGTTTGAGGGACTTTGCTGGCACTGTAACAAACCTGGGCACAAGAGAGCTCGATGCTGGAAACTTCAACACAGGGGAGGTGCCACAGCAGGAAAGGCTGGTATCCAGAAAGGTTGTTAGAACTGTGGAAAGCATGGACATTTGAGGAGCCAGTGTAGGAAGAATATTACCAACAAGTCTGCCTCAAGGAGATCAGTAGTGGTTGGTGTTGAGCGACGCCCACCAACCCCCATTTTGAAAGTCCCAACAGCTAGATGTAAAATGCCAAGCACACACAGTGTCTATGTGACAGGAATGCTAGATGGCCAAAGGTGCAACTTTGTACATAGAC